TTTTGTCAGTCATGGGGCTTGAACTCTGGGCCTGAGTGCTCTCCCTCAGCTCTTCAGCTCATGGTTAGCACTCTACCACTTGAGCCACAGCAACACTTCCAGGCATTTCTTTAGAAGCAAAAACAAACAATAATACCCCCCCTGAAAACAGAGAAATTCTCCCAGATAGCATTCTCTCAACAATCACATTCTGAATAATAAAGGGGTAAAGAACCATACATGCAAACTAGGATCAGATGCTCTGGAAAAATATCTCATTGCCCAACTCTCTTCCTTCTGTTGTTATACAAGACTTACCAGCTGGTGGTGTTTCTGATAAAATTCTGGAGTACAAGGCTTCACCTGAAGGCAGGGTGGACCATCTCCATTATCTAGGGAGTGTTCCACAGTATCTACGGTATAGGTAGAGAAACAAATAACTAGTATACATTTAGACATTAATCCTAGTACATCCCAATTGAACAGACAACTCTCTGAACTGATGTTCTGTAAGCCCTCCCCCCATCTGTAAGCTCCATGAGGGTACAGACTTTTGTTAGCTTTAGCTCACAATCAGGATCTCTTCACTTGGCTTCTCTGCATGTAGTAGGTGACCAACTTCCTGAATGACTGAAAGTGCTATTTCAGAAAATCCAGGTAATACAGGCAGGCTGGTGGCCTCAAATAGTCTTTTTTCATTGAACTTTAAAGAAAAGACTGTTCAATCATGTGTAGGAATTTCCTACCTCCATATATTGCTCAAAGGACCTTGAAGAATATTATCTGTGACAGAAGGAAAATGAGCCCAAATAATGTCCCCTAGCTCCTAATGAATTCACTGAGGGATCTGTTCCCAACATGAAATATCTCATCCTATGGGGAAAGCTAGGTAACAGTCAAAAACAAGTAAGTCAATCTGTGAGACCTCCTTTACCCCATCAATTCTCACCTGTAGACAGGCGGAGCTGCTTGTGAGGGGGATGGGACTCACACACTGGGAAAGGGAGACTCACATCATAGTCACAGCTCAACTGTAAGAAATTGGGACGCAGCATGAAGACCTTAGGGAGATGGTCTAGTACAAATAAAACAAAACCTAGTCTCCCCAACCCTATCCCCTCCAAAATAAAACCCTTTTCTAGCCACAGTCTTCCCAAGATAGCACATATCTATGGCTCCGTACCGGTGGGAGTACATGCTGAAGATCAGAGAGGGTTGTGAGCAACAGATCTTCCAGGTGACCCTGCTTGGTCTCCCTCAGCGCCTTACAGAAGGCATCAAAAGCCTGGGGCCCCCTCTTGGGAAGTAAGTTAAGGAGTTCCACGTTTTGGCTGAAACTGCCCACTTTGGCCTAAGACACAGGAATAAAACAGAAGATCATATTTACTTATCTAGTTATAATCCTATAATTCCAAGTGTACTTTCTATCTAGGGAACCACACCCATCTTAAGACTCCTTGTTCGGGGAAAGGATTTACAGGTGCTGTCCTCCCAGTTCATCTGGAACTACATACATTTTCTATCAAACTCCCTAGGGAGTAAAACACTGTATCTGTTCCATACTCCATCATGTGCTCTTCCACCCCTAAGGCTCATTTCTCTTCTTTGCTCTTTTCTTTCACCTCCATACCTGGATGAGCTCTCTCATTTCCAAAGTGATGATGTCCTTCTCCAGGAGATGTTCCAACAGTTCACTCAGCAACAGTTGTTTGGCCAGCACCACTCGGTTCTTTTTCAGAGTTTCCTGATGATCAGGATGCATACCACACACTCCCATTATCCTACACACAGGACATAAATAGAAAGGCCATGCAGTACAAGGCTTGATATAGAAAGCCAAAGAGATATGAGAAAGAACAACACAAAGAATAGGAGTTATTCCCAAGATCAGGTATATTTATTGAGTCCAATTAAAATTAAGATGTAGTAAGGAGTAACACACTGACATAGGGAAATAATGTGTAATTCTTATCAAGTATTTTTAACTACGACCAGATGTGATTTAAAGAGGGAAATGTCTATTTTGCTTAGAATGATATACACAACCAGATATATATTAAAGAAAAAGAATATTCCTTTGAGATACCAATTTCAATTAAAACTAATTTTAGAAAACATTTCATATTATTTAAATAATCTAAAATTAATTTAAACTTAACATAGTCTTAGGTGAGGAATAAAATGATTTAATACAATAGCAAAAAGTAAAGCCAAATGGCCTGTTTTAATAGACATATACTCTTAATGCTTAAATCCCTCAGAGAAAAAACACTAGAAAGATATAGATAAGTAGAAAGCATGAGTAAAAAAAACACAGTAGGAACATATCAATGATAAATACAATCAGTGAAACTTGAAATCACAGACAGTGCAAGTAATGGTTAAATTATTTTGGTAATTTAGTTACCTAAGTACAGACAGCTTTATTTCAAAATTCCTTGGTTTACCTATATGGTTGCAAAGACCAACTTCTGTTTATGAACTAAGAAAACCCATATTCAATACACATCATCTATTCAATTAATATACACATAGATTTAGAGCTCTTTGGTTTCCTTAGTTTTCAAATACATGACCACATTCAAGGCCTGGTGTCCATGTGAGAAAGATATGGTAGGTTCCGTTTATAACTTTAAACCTGTCTTTAAATGCATCTTGAATTCAAAGGTAATAAAATGTGGAAGAAAAACATGTATTTTCAAATCAGTGAAATACTGATGCACCTGGCTTATACATTTACTCAGAAAAACAGGACCTGGTAGAAACTAAAAGAGACCCAGGAAGGCAGAAAAGTGGGATCCTAAAGCAGAGGTGTTCAAAGTACTGTCATTCTCAAGCCTTCACTAAATCTGCTGCAACAAAATCTACACAAATCAGATTCCCCTTTAAGAACACCTTAAGGAATTGGAGCTGTGGCTCAAGTGGTAGAATGCCAGACTTGAATGAAAAAGCCAAGGGAGAGCCTGAGGTCCTGAGTTCAAGCCCCAGTTTCAGCAAAACAACAAAACACTAAAACACTAACAGTAACCCATAGAAATTTTAGTACACCAATGATAGTAGTGGTTGCTAGGAATTTCCTTAGGGCACATAAGGAATGGTGAATTCTTTCAGTTTACTGGTAATATCAACTCCTTAAAACTGTTTTCCCTTAGTTTTTGTGCACCACTCTATTTCATACACGCCATATCTTTTTTCAGAGGAACTTGAGTCTGTGTAATCCTGATTCTGTACCAGGGGTCCCCCTGCAAACAGCTTCAGCCCTCAGCAATCTCATCCAGACGCATCACTCACTCAGTGACTCTCAATTCCAAACTCTTTTAAGTTCTGGGCCTAAATTTTCCCCCAACAATTCACTAGTCTCTATGTGATGCACCATTTACACTGCCCTCTTACTCCTTCCTCTATTTCATACATATGGTGTTTTTTTTTAAAATCATCTTTAAGTAGGTGTACAAAGGGGTTTCAATTCAACCTGCCAGTGTGTGAGGTCAAGGCATCTCAGTCAATGTCGTCCCTGTTATCATTCTCTCCGGTTCCCATCAATTTTCCTAGTTCTACCCGAGGAGACTCTTGTCAACTTTCCAGTCACCTTGCATTTGGGACCCCGTAGCAAGGGGAAGGGAGTTCTCAAAGTTTCTGATCCTGTGTCCTTCTGAAGGTCTCCGTTCCAGGACCCATTAATGTGTCCTCTAGGATGCTGTCTATTCAGGAGATGGCAGGGGCCAAGTGATACAACCCGAGACCCAGAATCCTCCTAGTCCCCCTCTCTCCAGGGCTCAAATTCCCAGAGCGTGCAATGCTTTCATATATATATATATATATATATATA